TAGTTCTCCTGAGATCTTCCCAGAAGCAGAAATGCTTTACAAGGATATCCAAAAACACACCTGCCTACGAGGTGTGTTAGCCTACCACTTTGATGAGGCTAATAAATTACCCCCTTTGAAATAAAAACGGAATCAGCATTAAGAACATACTATTATTAGGTTGAGTTTCAGTTTCCTGGAACGTTCGTTAGATGTTGATATCTGGGCAGAGACGGAATCTCTCTTTTCCTTAAGAAAATTCGCCAGGGAAACAGCAGCAGTTCGCTGGCTTTGTTTGGTGTCGTTTATTTGTACAAAGAAAAATTGTACGTTAAGATGTTTTTTTTAAATCCCCGCAAGTTAGGGTTTGCATCATCATCGTGACCTAGCGAACTATTATTTGTTATTCTGGGATCGAAATTCCCGGGAAGTTTCTACTCTTCCGCACACCAGACTAGCCGGTGTGGTCTCCAGGAGGAGCTGGGGCCCGCGTCTGCAGGGGGCGCGCGGCTGTGGCTGTTGCCAGCGCGGGAACGGGAGGGAGAGCCTGGGCAAGGGCGGGGCGGGGCGGGGCGGGGCGCGGGGAAGCGGAGACGTGGGGCGGGCTGGGGCCGAGAGCGAGGCCGCGGCCCGGGTGTGGGGAGAGTGGAGGCGAGTGGGCGGGGTGAGGACTGGGACTGGGGAGACCCACATCTGGGGGGTGCGGGAGGATGAGGCTGCGGGCAGGAAGCGGAAGGCCTGGGACAGCTGCTTCTCTAGGTCCTAGAAACCAAAACTTTCTCAGCGAGAGACCCTAAGACAGGCCGAGATTTCAAGTGCCCACACTTCCAGTTTAGACACCTGGCAACCAATTGGAACAGCCGGACGCTAGGAGGCCCCCAGGTCTTTGGCGGCGGCGGCGTTGGGAGGCCGCAGAGTTGTCCCTGGGCTTCCCCGAAGGCCCCGCAGACTTCCCGCCAGTCCCTGCCACACCCCCCTAGGGCTTCACAGCTTCAGCCTGCGAATGTTAGTCCCCAGCTACACCGTCTGGCAGCCGTTCCCTTAAAAACCTGTTCAATTTTTTCATTAAGTCTTCTACCCAATCTGTAGACTCTTCATTAAATAACTGTTAACCAGTATCGAGGAGAAGCACAACCGACATGGTTCCTCTGTCACCTTTCTTGTCGATTTTTTCCTCCCTACCATGGAGTCTCCATTTTCTAAGCAATTAAATTATATATTCGACAGGAATATTCCATTTGAAATACATCAGGACCGAAGACTGATGCACAAGGTCTGAAGCTGGAAGAAAATATTTAGTGCTTGCCTACAGATTCTGTCACCCATCATCTGCTCGGAATGCGCTCCGTATCTTTCAGCGTGTCCGGCTCTTATGATTGCAAATGGCCCTGTTTTCAAATGGAAATAAGACTTGCAAACTGATTATGTGTATTGAATCAGAATCACTCGCTAGATCCTCTTGTTTAAAATGTATTGAAAAAAGGATGATGGCTGCAGACCTCTGTAACCAGCTCTGTCTCTTCCCGGGGAGGTCGATCTATTTTGCAACTTTTTGCCATTTGAGCATGTTTCAGCCAGATAATTACATTGCCATTGTGTTACTGGCTCAAAGCTCAGACATGGTACACACACCACATCCCAGCCGTCTCCCAAGCCCTCCCCACTAGGATCACCCCCTAAACACCACAAGCACACCACACAGTCATCCACCGCCCCCCACCCCATCACTTTGACCCAGCTATATATAACCAGCACTTCTCAGCTGCTTCAGCCTCCCGCAGAAGCTCACGCATTTTCACCAGGAACAGTTGTTTCTCTTTTCTCCATGTCTCCTTTCCACTCTGGCTTCTTTTTTCCGTCTTTCCATTGAGCAGAACCACATACACAACCCCAACTACTTTCACAGGCACACGACCAATGCAATCTAAGTATTTAGCCACGTTGAGAATTTTCAACAACTAATTGTATTGACATGGCATTGTAATTGTTAGAAAATGGTTCATACAGGAAGATTAATGTGAATTTGTTTGTATGATACAATATATCTCAAAGGGTTTCTCTTTCTCTTTACCCCCACCCAGTGCTAAATGATGGCTATGAGTGGGTTGGCTTTTTGTTAAATATTTCCAAAAGGTTCCTCTGTTGGATTTCAGTATGAAGCCAATGGACTATGTAGATGTGTAGAGAGATGTCTGAATTTTATCTATTGTGTGAGTTATAGATATGATACAATGCAGCACTTCCAAAGCTTACTGCACCCAGGCCCAGGATCAGGAGTCCTGCCAGGAAACAGTGCTGCCAGGGAGCAGTGACTGACATTTCAATCACTGTGAGTGGGTGGGTGGGTAGTGATGAACTAGCTACAACTTCCCTCTGCTGTGGCTTGAGGTAGGGATGTGTGCTCTGTGCACCACGGTGGTTTGAGAATTGCAATTCTTTCTGAGGCAGTGTTAGAAGGGAAGGAAAAAGCTGCCAATGTCTAGCCCCCCCAAGCCCTTAATCCTAACCCAGGCCTTGCAGACCTTGAGGCACCATCAAGTGGCAAGAAAGAGAGAGAGATTTAATCCTCTGCGATTTGAGTCTCCTCTAGAAAAGTCTGTCTCTGCAAATCTGTTTAGAGACTTGTCTGGAAGCATCTGTTGGGACCATAACTTTGCAAGGTTCGCTTTACACATAGACATATCCAGTTCCTTAGACATTGACTGGGTCTGCTGGTTATGGCAGAGCATAATCAGCTCAGAAGAACTAGCTCTCAGTCCTCTTCATGTCATTACGGTAATTCCCAGGTTTACATCTGTGAGAGTGCACTCAGCCCTGTGTGTGCTGGAGAGATCAGGTAAATCAGTAGCACGCGGGCCAAATAAAGCCTTGTTTTCCTAGAGCTTTGGACCTTTCGAGCAGCTGCATTAGGAGGGAGAATGCCAGGCAAGGTGGAGGCCAACCTGTTGTGGGTCATTTTCCATAGACTGGATCCAGAGCACAGGGACAGAGAAGGATATCCAAGGACACTTCATGGCCTGATAGCTCTGATTTTATAGGAATGAAATTATCGACAATCACCAATACTCTAGAATAGAATGTTTAACACTCCACCAGCAGCCTGCTGTTACTAACAGTAAGATCTAACAATCAAAGACCGGATTCTCTGGAAATGTGTGAAACAGAGGGAAAAGGGGAGAGGAAAAAAAGTTTGTCTTCTTCCTTGTAGTCAGACAACACTCAGACTTGCCCGCTTATTTCCAATACTATGTGAAGGCTTAAAGGCTGAAATCAAGAGGCCGTTTGCCTCAAATGCGGAACAGAAACAGTTTTCATGTGTTAGTTGTTTTTGTTGTTGCCCCAGGGCGATAGTATTTATGCCAATGATTTTTATAGGTGGATAATGTAAGTCTGGAAAGGGACAATTTTTTTTTTTTTGTTATAGAATAGCTCAAAAACTCTTATCCACAGCTGTGTCTCAGACATCAAGTTCAAATTCTTTAGGAACAGATTTTAATATTTCCTAAAACATAATTAGTTATCCAGAGTTTCACATGACGATAAATAAATAGTCTGACTTAAAGTGGGTAAAACTAAAGTTTTGGCCTATTTGAATTTTTAAGGAAACTCTTTCATACGACACCTTAATTGAAGTAGTGCATCTAACAGGTTCTGTAAAATCTCTGAGAATTCTATATTGAAGTTTTTTCTTTTCAATATCTTATAAACTAGATATATGTGTGTAAGATAGATGCATATGTATATATAGTTTTATACACACATACATATATACATAGACATCTGTGTGCAATCAGTATTAGATGCAGATTTTATCTGGGAGGCAAGAGTTCTCTTTAACAAGTCCCTTTGCCTGCCACATTCATGTTTATGTTTTATTTATATTTTGGGCAGAGCACTAACAGTGATCAATTTATGTTCAAATGTCTTGTAAATAACAAAAATAAACAAAACAGGAAAATGGATTTAAATCTCATCCTTTCCAAAACTTTGCTACAACTCATAATAACAAGGGTAATACATGCTTAGAAAGCAGAGATGAAATGGGAAACATTATCAAGCATGGAGAGGCACAGGAGCCCAAGACCATGCCTTGATGCCCACCAAGTTGGGCATTAGGTCACTATCAGAGAGAAATGCAGCTGGCCACTTCAGCTATGGCTTCAGCTGAGGCAAAATACTGTGCTGCCAAGTTGCTGAGCCTGCTCTGTCTCCATTCCTCTGAGATTCATTTTAAAAAGTTCAGAAATACAACTACATGAGGTGAGGATAAGGGCACATGCAAACCTCCTTCAATAAAACGTACTTTTGTCTGCTCCCATCCATATCCAATTCCTTCAGCTTGGGTGGACAACCTTTGTAGAGAGGGTGACTGAAAATAGGATACCCCTTCTAGAAGCAACTGGCTGATGGAGCACCAGAAAACTTTCTGTGCTCCCAGTTGAGGTAAGCTTTCAAATTGGGCCCCACAGAGGGTGGTCTGAAGCCTCAGAAACGCAACTGCACAGGGAGGAATGCACCAGCCAGGAAGGCAGGGAGAGCCTGAGAAACACGGTGTCCAGCGTTCCCTAACCAGGATCTAGCCGAGCAGAGGAAACATTTAGCCTAGTCCTTCCCAGTACCAGTGTCTCACTTTCCTTCCTTTGAAAAGAAAGCCCTAGTTGAACTAAATCAGCCAGCAACCCATGCCTTGAGAATTATATCATCTCACGTTCTCATCTCCCAGTGGGCTTCCTAGTTCTCCACAAATAAAATAGTCTACTCACTCTGCTTCCCGCTCTAATAATTGGGGGGTGGGAGCAGGGAAGGGAGATCGAGGTCTGGAGACATACGATCAGAATTCAAGGCAGCTTCTCAGAACTCTCTTGTTTATAGAAAATGAATGTCTGCCTGGCTTGCTTTTAGTTCAGAAAAGGGGTCAGTCTTTATCAGCACGGTTCATACAGACCCTGGATTTTTTTTCCCTTATCTTAAATTGACCCGCTTTTAAGATAAAGACATAATAGAGAAAGCATTGACCTTACCTGGTCCCTAATGAGTTGGAAGTCAGAAAACCCCGCTCTCCTTTCCTCTTATGTGGATCGCCTGAGAAGAGACTCGCGCTACCTTTTGTGCACTCGTGCCTTGAGATAGCCCCTCACCGACGCTTGGACGCGGTGAGCGCGCTGAAGGCTGGGCAGCCTCTACAGTCTGACAATTCCTCCCTGCGGCCTCAAAATTGGAGTCTTGGATGCCAGACCAAGGCACTGTCACTAGAGCTCCCTAGTCCTGACCCAGGAAGATTTAAAATCTCTTAGAAGGCTCCCGAGCAAGTCTTTCCCTATGAAAGGCCAAACTCTAATCTCCTACAACATCACTGGGCTGGAGCGCCCGGGGCCTCCGAGTCTCCTGGAGCGCGCGCCCAAAGCGTTTCTAGTGGAGACTGCCCGGGCTTGGCTCGGATTTCAGTCGCAGGGCCCCAGGCTACTTCCCACCAGGCCAGCAGCAGGGCCGAGCCGCTGCCCTGTTGGCTGAGGTATTCCCTGCCCCCACCCGCCTCCTGGCCTTGAGGACCGCAGTGTGTGCCCTTGTTGGTAGCGGCAGCAGCCGGGTATCCCTGTCTTCCCCGCTCAGAGCATCTTTCTCGCTCTTCTCCCGGCTTCTGAGCCTGGCCCAGTCCCTGACCCCCTAACTAGCTGAGAGAGCTGATTTCCTTCCTCTCCTGCCCACAGCTCCCAGTTCCCAGGCTGGGGCCAGGGTGGGGAGCCGCTTTGGGATGCTAAACATCAAACAAGCCCAGCCTGGGGTTTCAGGGCCCGAAGCCACTAGAGCGGCTCTCCAAGGCTCTCGAGAAAGTCCTCGTGTTTACATGGCGAAGTGGGGGTGGGGAGAGGAGGAAGGGGGGGGGATGCAGTGTGCAAAATCTCCCCCCCTCCTCGCAGTCGTTGGGGCCTAGGGATGGGTAGGGTACTTTGACGGAGCCAAAGCTTAGCGGTGATCTCGGGGTGAACTGTACTGCTCCCAAACCTCAGAAGCTTCCAAGCACCTCAGCGCCAGGCGCATCCTCGGAATGCTGATTTCTCTAGAGGGGAGGCCAGAAATTGAGCAGGAGTCGTTGGGCATGAGTTGATGCAGGAGATTCCGGGGAAGGAGGCCGGCCGGCTTTCCAGAAGCCGAAGGAGCTGTAGGGGCGGAGAGTGCTGCGCACCTATTTCCCTAATGAAACGCTTCAGATTGCGTTCTAGGTCTCTACCTGCAGCTGCGACAAGTCACCTTGCCGGGAGCGGGGGCGGGAGCGGGAGCAGATGGAGCCCTTGTGATTGATGGCGAGAAAGAGGCTGAGGTCCTGTTTGTCTCGGTCCGTAAACGCGACTGAGTTCACCTTTCCCCTGGACAAGTAAACAAACTTCAAACTAAGCCGACTCTAGACGGCAAGGAGAAGAATGTATTTGATGGAAACCCCATCCAGTGCAAACGTGATTAAGACCCGGGGTACCACAGCTTACTAAAATAGTGGTTCCCAAGGGCTGGCTCCTGGCTAGAATGCGGAGCTGGGCAGCCGCCCGGACCACAGCTGGGAACCACCAGCTCGGTCCCCGCCCGGGCTTGGGCTAGGCTGGGGCAGGTTAAGTGAAGCTCCAACCCTGTGGGATCCGGACCTAGAGCCAAACAGCAGCTCCAGTATCCACGTCCCCGTCCGCCCGCCTGAGCTGGATGCCTTAGCCTCTCCTGGAACCATGGCTGGCCATTCCAAAGCAAGTGGTCAAACTTTACGGGTTTTTGTTTACTTGTTTTCCAAAATGGGAGACTTGCTAAAATCTCCCTTCCCAGCCTTCCAACCAGGACACTCACTAGACCCAACTCTCCTCTTTGGAGTCTTCGAGTCCCTCTGGATATTGAAAACCGTGTCTCTGCAGTCAGGCCCAGGTTTCTGAGGGAGAAAGCCGGGCCTAGCCCCCAGTCTTAAGGCATCACGCCAGAAGAGCCTCCAGGAAGTCAACAAAGAGGTCTGCTAGGTCCAGAGCGAGGACTCTGGCCAGTCTACTTTCCTAACAAGCTCTTGGTGGGGTATCTGGAGGGAGGGCTTGGGAAGAGATGAAGACAATGAAATGAAAGAGGAGAAGAGAGGGACAAGAAAAAGAAAGTTGAAAATCTAGGTGAGAAGTGAATACATGCCAAATAAGAATCAATTGCCCATAATCCAGTACTTCCAGGCCTAGAGGAAAGTACTGGGAAGGGCATATGCCGCAGCTCCCTCAGCAGCCTTTCCCCCCACCCCGATGATTTAGCAAGAGTGACCCAGAAGGAGCAACAGCCCATCCAGGGACTGCAATTTTTTTCTGTGTTCAAACCATTCCTTTTTTCCTCCCTCTCATCCCTAATAGAGCTCCCAACACAAACACTGAACGCTGAGGAGACCCAGAAATTAGAAGTCAGAAGAAAGGAATAAAAAATGATTGTTTTTTTTTTTTTTGCTTGGAGTGGGAGGTAGTGGCCAGGAGGTGAAGAACTGGAAACAGGAGAAAGATTCATTGCTACAAAAATTTAGGAACCCAAATATTAAAAAAAAGAAAAAGGTGCAATAAAGAGTGAAATCTCAGCTCCTGAAGTCCTTCCTGGGACATCCTCAGGCCTGTCACGCAGTTTTACTCCATTGGAGGCGAAAGGAGCCAAAAGCAGCAGGGGCTGGGGTGTCTGCTGCTGGTCCCGGAGAGGACATCCCTGTTTCAGGGCAGAAACAGAATCCCAGAATAATTTCCTCACTTTCCAAAACAGCCTCCCACCGAATTCTGTGAAGGAGCTCGGCTGCGGAATAAAGGTTCAATGTTCAAATCTATAGAGATGATCATTCACTAAAAACCAGAACTCATTCAGAGTTCTTTAAAATGGTTGTCTTCTCTCACTGTTTTAAAAGGTTGGCTCAGCTTTGTGAGACCACAGTAGACAGTACACAGTTCTGAAGCTCCTATCAACAGAAGTCTGATTCTGAAAATGAATCTTTTGGTTTCTTTCTCTTCCTCTCCCCATCTCCTGCTTGGTGGAAGTAGTTTGGCATTTCTGTCCTCCACTGCAGTCTCAGGACTGCTCAAGATTTGGTTCCACACAGTTTCTGAGGCAAAACAAAACTCCCTTTTCCCGTGGGGCAAGGACTCTAGGCCTGGCCTCTTTGCTTCCTTAACCGGTTCAGAATCCTTTGAACTCAAACCCAAACAATTTGAATCTCATCAGACCAAAGACAAGATCCTCCCAAGCCGCTCCCCCACCCAACCAAAAGCCATTTAAAGCCAAATCAAAACCAAACAAAAAGGAGGGTTTTAATCAGAAAAAGAATCTTTTTAATTTGTATAATTTATTAGAAGCTTCTTAGGAACTATATTTAAGCCAAATATCTACATAAGTTACAACAGAAAAAGACTGACGCCGCAAATACCAAACTGCCAAATAATATACACAGATTTGTCAATGCCCATAAAAAATGTGAAGGGCTGGGGACTGGGAGTGGTTTTTCTTTTTACAACAAATGTACAGATTACTAAAACCTAGGCATTTAGTCCAACTTTTGACAGCGTTTTACAGCTACAAGTTCACATCAAACATAACAGTTTTCGCGGAGGGACGGTCGTGGCTGAGCCTAGGCGGCCCGAGGGCGCCGGGGAGGGGGCACTTCCTTTGTGTCAGTGACAAGTGGGTTGTGTCGAAGACTCTGCTCTCCCCAGCTCCCGTCCTCCCTTCTTTAAAAAAAAAAAAAAAAAAAAAAAAAAAATCCTGGTATTTACAAGCGAGAGTCCACTTTGCTGGCAGAGTGTGCCCAGAGTGAAGTTTGGTCTTTAGAGTCCAGAGCCATGTCAGCACAGAGCCCTCTCCAATCTGTGCCCTGCCCTAGGGTGGGAAACCCATTTGAATCACCAAAAAAGACACCCCCAAAGTTGTTTTATGCCTTTCTCTGCTTAAAGATTCCTTAAGAAATTGGACGCGCTTGGTTGTTTTTATTTTCTTTCTTTCTTTTAAAAAAAACACACACACAAATTTTAGGATCAAAAACAGAAAGACGTCTAGCAGTTTGGCTTTTGTGTTTTGTTTGTTCCGTGGTCTAAACGCGGTCAGGTTCTTAAGAAAAGTCGAAGCGTGTGGAGCAACGGCGGATGGTGGTCTGTGTGGCGAGCAGGAGGGAAGCGGTGAGGCAGAGCGCTGGGCTAGGGCCGGCCCGGCGTCCTCTCACCAGGTCCGACCATATAGCAAGGTGGAGCAGGACATGGTGCCGTAGTCCGAGCCCGAGGAGTTCAGGTGGGACAGGCTGGAGACCTGGCCCTGCAGCGCCGCGGGGCTGGCGGCATGGTGCGCCAGGTCCGGAGACTGGCCTGCACTGCCCGGCTGGTGGCCCGGGTGTGCACCAAGGCCGCCACCACCGCTGCCCACAGAGATGGCAGCTGCCGCCGCCTGCGCGGCCTGCGCCTGCTGTTGCGCCTGTTGCTGCGCGTGGCCTTGTAGGCTGGCGGCGCCCGGCGCGGGGGCACCCGCCTGGCAGGGTTTGCCGTCTTTCACCAGGACCGGCACGGCCACACGGCGTGGCGACTGCTGCTGAGCCTGTTGCTGCTGCGGGCACCCGGCGCCCCCGCCGCCCCCGCCGCCGCCGCTGTCCTGCTGGAGTTGCTGCTGCGCCGCCTTGTCCTTGGCCTGGCGCTTCATTTTGTAGCGGTGGTTCTGGAACCAGATCTTGACCTGCGTGGGGGTCAGGTGGATCATGCTGGCCAGGTGCTCGCGCTCTGGCGCCGACAGGTATTTCTGTTGCTTGAAGCGTCGCTCCAGCTCATACACCTGCGCCTGCGAGAAGAGCACCCGGCGCTTCCTGCGCGGCGCGCTTGGCAGCGGGGCCATGTTCTTGCTCACATCCCCCAGCGAGCCCAGGCCGCCCATGCCGCTCATGTTCATGCCGCTCGCCGGGCCCATGAAGCGGGAGACTGTAAGCGACAAACGCACAGCGTCGGCCGGGGCCAGGCCGGGCCAGGCCACCCCAGTTTTCCGCGCCATTGGCCGGCCCGGCCCGGCCCGACCCGACGGCGCCCTCCTGACCCAGGCAGCCTAGCGCTCGGCCCCAAGAGGCCCATCCTCGGGGGACCTCCAGCATCTGCCCCAGGCGGTGCCGTCGAGGGCTGCACTGGAGCGCTCACAGCCCCAACCCTGGCTGCCCACCCTCAGTCTCAGTTCCCTCTTTCGAACCAATAGGCGCAGTGGGGAAAAGGCCGCTTCTGCTGCTTTAGTGCCTGCCCAGCCCGGGTCAGAGCAATGGGATTAGCTGGCCACAGGCGGCGAACTGGGCTCAGGCCGGGAGCTGGGGTCCCACGGTAGACCCCAATTTGGAGAGGTTAGGAGAGGGGGTGTTGACTTCCAAAAGCTGGAGCCCCCAGATGATTTGCCTTTTGGCTTCTCTCCTGTCGGCCCCAGTGAGGGCACCTGCTCAGCCCCTCAGAGTCCCCTCCGGAACTGCAAGTCTCCCACCTGCCCAGACTCCTCTAGAGAGAGGGCCGGGGTGGGCGCTCGAGTGCCTCCCAACAGGGCAGCCTCCCTCCTGGCCGGGCCTGGCCTCTCCGCGCTCTGCTCCCTGAGCTCGGGGTCGCTTCCCTGGGCTCCCCTAGGTCTTCTGAGCGGAGCAGAACTGCCAGTCCACCGCGCCTAAGAGACACCGAGTACCCGCATCTGACCGCAGGACCCCAGCGCTACCAATTGCCTGTTCTTGGACCCCCAGACGGGCAGGGGGAAGTATCCCCAGCTCCCACACCCTAGTCCCTGGCGCCGCTCCCGGGCCGCCCACCCTGATGCCTAGCGCGTAGCCTGCCCGGGCCGCGCCTTCTGGACGGCTCTTGCTGCACCTCCTGAGCTCAGCCCGCGGCCCCGCAGTGGGGCGGCCTCACTTACTGGCGGCGGGGAAGCGCGGGTCTGGGTTGGCGCCGTACCATCCGGGGCCAGAGGCGCTGTTCCTCATGGTGTCCTGGTACGGCGGCAGCTCGCTCATGTTGCCCAGGTTGCCGTTGCAGTAGCCCCCCACCGCGGAGTGCGAGAGCTGGGGCACCCCCGCTGCCGTCATGTGGTAGGCGGCGGTGACGGCGCCGTGGTGCCCCACGGCGTGCTGCTGCATGGCCGCGGCCGGCGGTGCCGCCTGGCCCTGCCTGTACGCCGCCAGCGGAGCCCCGAGGCCGCCGCCCTCCATGCCCACTTTCTTGTAGCTTTCCTCCAGGGGACTCAAGATGTCAGACACTGAGAACGGAGTCGTGTGCTTTGGACTCATCGACATGATTCGGCGGCGGCTGGAGGAGGAAGGAAGAGGAGGAAAAAAAAGGGAGAGGGGG